AAATGGTAGGAATTGGATTGGACTTGAGAATAGAAAGAATTTGGATAGGTAGGGGAAAAGAAGAAAGGCATTTTTTGCTGGGCATAAAAACTTTAACAAAAGTATGGAAATGAGAATTAGTATGCACTATGCAGACAAATGTATAGATAAGTAGTAGAGCACCTTGAGGTCAATGCACATTTAGCCTGGTTTTCCTATTTATTTTAAAATTAAAAATATTGTAACTCTTAGAACTGTGTCAGATCTAGGAAAGTTGTGATCCTTGCTTTCAAATTGTTTATGTTTAAAATAAAATCAAAACGGAAAACAAACAAATGATCCTGAACTCACTTAATGAAAATGAATGGGGTAGCCTTTTTAAAGCAATACAAATCTTAGGGAACACTCATCTGAGACAAGGGACATTTTATATTAAAGATTACAAAAGGCTAATCAATGTTTACCAACTCACCATGTATATTTTTCAAGGCCTAAACATACATGTATAGCTATAGTAATTACATAACTTTATGGGATCAAGTGAGTACAAGGTATCAATAACATAACTAAAGCTAGTTTTTATATGTAGTGAAATTCAGAAATTTAATAAAAAAAGAGACAGATACTAAAACTTCAAAACTTAATTTCAAGTCTTAACTGTGAAATTATATATAAACTTTAGCTAACCATATTATCTGATGTTTTGTGGGATAGTGGAAAGATCATTGGACTTGGAATCAAAAGACCTGGGATTCTGTGAGGGGGAAAAAGTCCTAGGTAAGTCATAACATTTTTCTGGGACTTTCTTTCTTTTTCCACAAATTGAAGGGATCGTGCTTGATGGCCTACTAAGGTTCATTCCAGATCTAAAAATGTGATTCTATGATTCTATTATTTATGAGTTTGACTAAAGTGAAAGTTACATACAAAAGTGTGGAATGGCAGCCAACAAAGCTTACTCATTCTTCAGTTGCATTAAATGGGGCACAGTGTTCACAGTGAAAGAGGTGATAGTGCATGGAACTCTGCCCTGTTCACATCAGATGAAATTTTAGTAAGGGCATTGAGAAACTGGAGAGTGGCCAGTACAGAGGAAGAAGAAAAATGAACGTGACATAGAAGGATCAGTCAAAGGAACTGGGGATGTTTAGCAGGGGAAATAAAGTTGTTGTTGTTGTGATTGTTTTTTTGGGGGGGGGGTTGACATTTTCAGATTCTGAATAGTCATTATGTGGAAGGGCTATACTTTTTTTGATTTCCTCCAGAGAAATACAACTAGAAACAATGGCTGGAAGTTTCCTCAGGATATTGTAATTCACATGAATAATGCTAGTTAAACAAAGCTGTAAATGGAATGCAATAGTTCGAGAGAAAATCAAGTGGGTGATGAAAGAAGTTTTTTACTGTTTGCTTGGAAACATGAAATGGGGGAACTAAAGAAATATCCAATTAATTTGGGTAAGTATAAGGGGAAAAACATTCACAGAGAGGAAAAAATGAATATTCAGTTCTTAGGTTATCTAGCTTGAATATCTTCATTAATCAAATTACTCTGCGAATTGTATAACTCTCCAAAGTTTGTCTTTTCCTTCTACTTCTAAAACTAACACCTTAGTAAGGTATATGGATTTCACTTGGTCTTTCTTTTTAAGCCAAAATTTGGAGAAGCTGCAAAACTGTGCATAAAGTCATATGTGATCATTACAGGTCCCTTGGCATTTTTTTCTGTCTGATGCAGGAGTGATAGGTAGGCAGAGAGTCCTCTCTCTCTCTCCCTCTCTCCCTCTCTCCTTCTCTCCCTCTCTCCCTGTCTCTCCCTCTCCCTCTCCTTTCCCCCCCCCCCCTTTCTCTCTCTGTCTCTCCTGCTGTTTCAGTCTATTAAACAGTTCCTGCATGCCAATTCTGAGGAGACTGCAATTCAGTTTAGGGTGAAATGACTCCTATAAATGTAAGTTTGGTAAAGTGCCTGGAGTCACTGGAATGAAAGGACTAGGTGGTTCATTTGTTTGAAAAAAAAAAAAGCATTAATGTCAAGGACTGAGGATTCAAGCTCCAAGAGAATATGCTAAGCTAAATTGTAAATTGAGTATTGAAGTCTTCTGGACTATCAATCCAGTACCTTTCAGAAATGGACTACCAGTTAATACTGATTGATTTTGTGTCATCATACTAGTTATTTGGTATGACTAAAAAATAATTCTTTAAATGACATGCCAGGCAAAACATTATTACCCTTAACCTGTATACTTAAGTTTTCTATAACATCTTTTAAAATCATTAAATATAAGAAAATGGAAATCACTTGTTACCTTTCCGTTGCAGGAATCCATTGTTATGTGTTGGAAAAATATTCTTGAATATAAATTAAAGCCATCTAATATTGTAAATATTAAGATACTTTATGATGAATGCAACTCAATATAACACTAAAACACATTTTCTAAATCGGATAATATTTGGGAGCAAGGGAGTTGGGACATGGCAATTTCAGGAGTACTATTCTAATAATAACTGACATTTTCATAGTGCTTTAAATTTTATAAAGCACTTTACATATATTAACACAAGCCTCTCTAATAACCCTGGGAGATGTCCTACATATCTTTCTATCCTTATTTTATAAAGAAGGAAATTGAGACTCACAGAGGTTAAATAACTTGCCCATGATCATATAGTTAGTACATAATAGATACTGGATTTTAATGAAGGGGTCTCTGAATCCAGCTCCAGATTATCTACTGTTCCCAGCTATGATTTAGAACATCGACGGATGTGGCAATTTACTTGCTTGTGTTAAAAACCTAGTCTTTAATGACCGTCCCCACAAAAATAATCTAAAAGGATTCCTCCTTCTCACTTGTTCACAATGTTTTGTTTCCTGGTTTTCCTATGCCATCCAATAATATATGAGAGCCTAGATCTTTCTAGCTATTGACCTGAAGTATAACATTAATGTTTCCAGTGTTGTCCCAGATTGAATTCTTCCCCTTTTCCCAATCTTTAACTCTGAGTTCAACATTCAAATGGAGATTAGAACTTGGAATGGAAAAAGAAAAGTCAAGAAATGGATATTTAAACTTCTATTTGCTACATGGATATTAATTGTTGTCTTAAGAAGAAATATTTGCTTTCATCTCTTTCACTTATTCCAAGATCTTTTGTCTTCTTCTCCTCTTCCTCCTTTCTCTACATACACAGGCTACCTCTACTGACACAAGGAGGAATTGAATGCTATTTCTTTTTGGTGCCAGCTGCTAAAAAACAATACAGTACTGAGTTCTTCTTTCTGTGTGGTGGATAGAGAAATTCTAGGTGTCTATAAACCAGTAGCTGGTTCAACTTTGGACAGCACACTATGGATAGCGATTTCTTCCACGATACAAACCTATTTGTCCCCTCTGACTCTTCAAAGAAAACCCTAGGATGGGGAATCTGATCCACTTTGGCGTTATTTCTTAAGGCTGCTTCCATCTCTGCTCTAGTCCTTTATTTGCACTGCATTTCTTTTTCATCCCTATTCAAAATAAAATACAATATCTAACGAAATGTTCTACTTGAGTTTTCTTTTTTCCTTCTTAAATTTAACTCAGACAGCAGGCTCATAACCCTTATTCCCTTCTACCCTATCCCTGGGACTAAGAAGAGTATAGAGGCAAGGCAACAATTAATCCAGTCTCCTACAGCAGAGTTCTTAGCAGATGGCACGTTGTGGGACTTTAATAAATGCTTGTTGCTTGAACGAATATAGGAGAGATTGGAACTCACTAGTAGAGTTTCTATTTCTTTGACCCCGGTGATTAACTATGTCGTATTTATTGGAAAGCTAGGGCATTTCCTTTTAGAATGCTGCCTCTCTCTAGCAGAATTTTTCTCCTGAACAGAAGCAACTTTAAGAAATCTCTTTAACTCCCCTTTCTTGACAAAACCTAGGAAAAGCTCCAAAGGAAGTTTCTTCGTGATAAATTTGAACCACTGCTGAAAACAGATGGGAATGTGTCTACTAGCGATCCCTCATTAAACTTAAAGCCTCCGGGATGTGTAAGGGAGTGTATAAAGGTAGCCCAAGAGATTGGAGGCTGGTAGCAGGTGCCAGGGTGTGGCTGCAATTGTCTCCCTTCTCTCTTCCAGCAGAAGGAGCCACTTCTGTGAAGAGGGAAGAGTGAGAGAGAGGGAGACAGAGATTGAAGAAGGGGTGAGGGCTGAAGGGAGGGTAGAGAGGGGAGGGAGGGAGAGAGAGGCTGGAGATTGGGGAGAGAGCCTGTGAAGCTCTCAGCTCATACGCACGCCGCCTCTGTTTGTATACAGTGCGCTCTCCAGCCCGCACCGTTCTCTCCTCTTGTCCTCCCGCTTCATTGTTCTCCAAGTCAGAAGCCCCGCAGCAGTGGCAGAGAAAACAGCCTAAGCAAAGCTGCGCGCCGGCTGCGGAGTTCTTCACAGCCCCAGGTTTACCCAGGGAAAGCCAACGGGAGCCGCGCAGCGCGAAGCCGCGCTCCCACACACATCCCCGCCACCCAGGACTCATCTCCTCTCTCCTTCCCAGCTATGACTGAGTTGCAGCACTTTGGCTGAGCCTCGCTGGGTTATTCCGGGATCCTACCCGCCACCCTTTGCCAAAGATCCGGCAAAAGAAGAGGGAAGCGTTTTCTCTTTCTCCTCTTCCTTTCTCTTTTAAATATTTTTCTTTCTTTCTTTCTTTAAGAGAAGGGTTGAGAGAAGACATATTTAGTGTAAGGGATCGCCTGGCACCCAGAGCCCTATCTCTGAGAACCCCATCAGCCACATCTCTCTCTCTCCTTCCCCGACCCCTTTCCCATACGGGGTCGCTCCAGTTGGAGAAACGATCATGAACCGTTTGGTGGCCGTCTGGTTCTTGTTGGGTCTGAGCTTCTGCGTCCCTCAATTCACCAAAGGTGAGATGATGGGGTGGGGTGGGGGTTCCGTTAGGGAAAGGGGATGGAGAAAGGGGCCAAAGCTTTTCCTTTTGAGGTGCTGGGAGAAAAGGCAATGCCAGTGTACAAGTGGGAGTGAGGCGGTCCGGTGAGGCTGGGGTGAGGCGGGGGCGGTGCGGGGGCGGCTGACAGGTCGGCGGGGGGAGGCGAGGGGGAGAGCCCTATTCCTTGTGATGCCAAGGTTGTTGCTGCGTGAGGTTCTCTGTGTGTGTAAGTGTGTGTGTGTATGTGCGTGTGTGTATGTGTGTGTTTATGTACCGTTAGCGGGGGGTGGGTGGGGGGAGGTTGGAGGGGGGAATTGCGCTCCGGGGCAGACCATTTAAAGTGATCCCAAAGTCTGGAGTGAAGTGTGCAGGGCAAGCAGAACAGTGATGCAGCGGGCTGTAAATCGAGGAAAGGAGGGGGAGATGGGAAAAGAAGGGAACTCACGGGAGTAGGGGGATTCTGCAGTTCACTTTACTGAGAGTCTCTGGAGGTGTTCTCCAAAGTGAAGAGGAGGGCAATCACTGCAAATATGCTCATTGGGCATAATTAGTCCAGCTTGAGCGGAGTTGGGGGGGTGGGGGTGGGGCGAAAGGAATGTGTAAGAGTTTAAACGTCAACTAACTGAGCGGATGCAAGGGTTTCAAATCCGCAGAGCTCTCCACCAGCCCCGTTTTCGTGTGTGTGTGTGTGTGTGTGTGTGTGTGTGCATGTGTGTGTGTGTGTAATGGGTAGTCGGTTCTTAAATTTCAACTCAATGCTGAACAGTTTGCAAACACATTTCAAGATACTTGGAGGTTTGTATATCATTGCTAAAATGAATGGGTCTTGTCAGTGTCTTCCGTAGTCTATCTTAACTAGGACATGCTCTATCCGAAATATAGAACAAAAATAAAGCTTCTTTACTGAATGATCCCCTGCCCGCATGAATCTCAAACATGTCCTGATAATTTCATCCACATATCGTTGCTAGAGATCTGCTTACACATTTATATTCATAAATTATGCTTGTTTAATTATATATATACATGTATATTAAATTATACTGCAATTCACCTCCCTAATCTTATTTAACATTCCTAAAAGTTGCAAGAGCTTGTCTTTGTTATGTTCTCTTGATTTGAGATGAGAAAAAAAATGAAGCTTTTTTTTTTCCTTCTTCTTGAAATAAAGGGCTTTGAAGCCTGGGAGACTAGCTCCCGTTGTTGCCTATCTTTCTGGGAGCACTTTACAGAACAAGTATCGAGGTGTAAAATAAAAGTGAGATTGGCTTTCCAGGTTGGTTGGTGCTTAAGTTAGTGCTGCAGAAAGATGGGGAGCGGGAGGTATTTGATGGCTGGGTAGCGAATATAGAACTGTAAAGAGAGATGGGGGGTGGGAGGTCTCTGCTCTTTGGATCCTTGAGAAGGCGAAGCGGCATCTCTGGTGTGATTTAGTGGGTTATAAATCTCCAGGGGAGGCGGTTCAATTATAGAGTTCATTGCAACACAAAACCGGATTAAGATGCTCTGCTTGAATTTTTAAAGTGTTTAGTTAATAATTACTCTAAGATGTGAATCATCGTGAGACCAAATATTTACATTCCCTTTATTTTAAGAAAAAGTGTATTATTGTTGTTTTGCCTATTGACTCTTCTACCCCTTCCCTAAACTACCCTCCTCTCGGCTTGTTTTTGCTGACCAGCTTATTATGGGCTTTCCTGATGAGCAGGTTGCCTTACCTACTGACGACTGCCCCTTCCTTCCTTAAATTAGGCATTTTTTTTAAAACGTCTCTGTCTGTATGTGGGTATGTGTCTGTGTGTGCATGTAACAAAATGTCCCAGTTATCAGGAAAGGTCAGCAACACCATTTAAGGTTACCAAATGGTCATAATGTTGTAGTTTTCCTGATGAGTACGAGGGAGAGAGAGCGAGAGAGAGAGAGAGAGAGAGAGAGAGAGAGAGAGAGAGAGAGGAGAGAGAGAGAGATACTCGTTTCTTTCTATGGAATTTTCCTTTTTTTCTGTGTGGATGGCCCCCTGCACTTTGATCCCTTGGAAGAAGGGGAAGGGAAAGGAATGATTGACCCTTCTCTTTCCCGCTCCCTTCCTCTCCTCCCACATCCCTTCTTCCTCAACACACACCGGTAAACACAGAAAGCACAGAGACTCATACACACCTACAGACCTACACCCTACCACCACCATCTGTCCCTCTAGTTTGTACTGGGGTGGAGTACAGCTCCCCGGAAGAAGAGAAAGAAGAAGCTATTTACTAGATCTGCAGCCTCCGCCTCCACTCTGCTGAGTCCCATTTAAGAGGAGAGTGCAGCGGTCTCTAGATTGGTTCCACTGCCGAGTTTTCTTCCCCTCCTACTACACAACAGGCAAACGGTCCGAGGGGCCGCAGGTCCTCCAGACACGGTTTGAAGCTCTGAGACGTGGTGGAAACCCTTAGTCAGGAATCTCGGGAAGGTTTTTCTTTCTAAATCCTCCTAAAGGAAGGTCTGGCAGCTGTACACTCCATATTCCTTAGCGCTTTCCTCCTTCTCTGGCAGCCGGTGGTAAGAAGGAAAGGGAGGATGAAGAATAAAATGATCCCATTTTTCAATAGGTCCTTTTAAACTTGCATCACCTGCACGTTATTCACCCACATCCCTAAAGGGCTCAGCACAGACCATTTAAACTTCGAATAAACTCCGTGGCAACCAATGGCAGTGAGATCTTATTGGGTAGCCCAGAAGGATGCCATTGCCTTGGTGCTTCCCTTTTTTTAAAGGTGGTGTTTCCCTCCATGCGGTCATTTAATTTAAGTTAATCAAAGCCTATATTCAGTGAGGTTCAATAACTCTTTTTATTAGTAGTTTCTTTTTATTTTAAAATTAAACCAATGGATCAGTCAGATTGAATATTTTATTAGCTCTTAAATTATTCATTGTTATGAGCTGCTCTAAAAAATCCAATAACATTCATACAGTTGCAGCAACCACGTGATGCCTTATGCAATCTGTCCCTGTGCCTGCAGTTTGTGCCAGGAGTCTTTAAGTAAAAGACACTGTATCTGAAGTCTAGACATGTCATAAATACTATGCATCACTGGAATTTATCATTTGACTTTTCAAAATTAAAGGCTTTTTCAGCTATTTTCAGTTACTTCTAAATGAGGATGCACAATAAATTCAAAACTAAGTACCACATTTCTCCCAGTACATTGTCTTCTTGGAGTTACCATAGCAAAATCCTTCTTAAATGTGAATTTTCAGTATTTTCCTATGCCTTCTTACATTTTAATGGTTAGATCATCCAATTTCTAAACACATTAAACTTAAACCTTTTAAAGTGAGTACCAACTTTAATTCCTTTGAGTAAAACACTCTTTTTTTCAATCACCTTCAAATAATAAAGTTGAAAGCAATCATTAATTTTAAAGTAAGAACAGGCTACTGTGTTAATTTGGTACTGTTGCATCAACTTTGTCATATACTAGCAAGAACTATCATAATATACCACATATTTCTAACTGAACTCTGAAACATCATTTTCTAATTATTTCTAACATTTCTCTTTAATTCAAATGCATTCCAATTTAAAGTACAGTTGTTAGAAAAATCATCAAACTTTGTTTCAAAAAGAATAATGGTGTTATTGTTAAAATGGTCAGTCATTCCATCTTTTGCCTCAAGGTTAAAACACTTTTCTAGTGGAAGCTAAATTATTGTGCCAATCAATAATGTTTGAATTAAAACAGATGGCTATACTTCCAAATATCCCAATGTCACAGTTCATTTTTAAATCTTTCCCTGCTTGAGAAATTCAGGATAGTCTTTGAAACATTTTTTTTTTCCCTGATCAGCATCAATTTGAAAAATCTGGGAGATCTATTGGTGGTCTCTTATAAAAACCTCTCATATCAACCTGTGCATCTTTAGAAAATGGTTCTTGGTTATTGGTATGCTATTTCCAGCTTTTCAAAGATTTTGTGTATAGGACAGGCTTTTATGTTGTATGTACTTAAAAACAACAAAAAATTTCATCAGAATCAAATGTTAAAGTTCAAGGAAAGCAATTCTGATGCTTTTTGTTTACAAAATATACATACAGGTGTAATTATTGCAAGAATGCTTTATGATGTAAAAGTTGCATTGAAAACTACCCAGAACACAGACTTCAGAGTTCAATTTTCACTAGAAGCAAATTAAAGAAATGTGAAAAAGTTCTAAGCAAATTTTTTAGGTAAGTAGACTTGATGCAATTCTTAAGGCTCCTATTTTGACAGTTTTACTCTTTATGGAGTTAGCCTAGACATACATACATACATACATACACATCATTGGAAGCAACACAAACATGGTTCAAGTATTACTTAATATTATCAAATTCCTTTTGAAAGAAGATGTTAGACATTAAGTTGCTTACACCTTAACAGAACTCAGAAAGACTCTCTCTTCCCCTCCCTCCCTCCCCAAGTCTCTGAGAGAATTCATCCTGGAGAGAAACCAAACAGAAATCAGATGTACCATCACCAGTAGGTGTCAGGATAATCAATGGAGATAATTTAGAAAGATGTGCTGTGGCAAGAAAGTGGTAAAGTGAACAAATCCTTTCAAATGGACAAGGTTAACATTGTGATTTACTAATCCTAAGGCTTCCTGAGAGGGAAAAAATGATATTAGTTAAAAAGGACAGGGTTCTCTTTTTTGTTTTTGTTTTTTTTTTTTTTTTTTACTGGATATTCTGTTCTATATTACAATCAGGCTTGCTTGTCACAATGTGAGCACAGATTTTGTTGAACATCAAAATTGATCTCATATTTGGTTGTCCTATCCTCATCTAAAGAGTCAGGTCATTGGTTTGCTTTATTTAGTCATTAGTCTTCTAATGAGGTGCTAGTATTCTTTTAAGATCCAATTTCTTATTGGTTATTTTTTCCTACTGTCCATCATCATTTTTACTTGACCTGTGTCATGTGTACAGTACTGCCCGGAATCCTTGTATTTTAA